ATCCATCACCCATCATCCATCCATATCCATCATCCATCATCCATCCATCATCCATCATCCATCATCCATCCATCCATCCATCCATCCATCCATCCACATGACAGCCTGTGCATCTGCCCAACCATCCCTCCACCCGCCATAGTCCACTTTACTCATCCACCCTCCATTCCACTGTGAGCACCTACTGACTGTATGCCTAGGAGCTGCGTCTTTCCCCCTCTGCCCCTGGCCCCCTCAGTCTCCCCGGGGCCCAGCATCTCTGACAATGATCTGAGCCCCTAGGGTGGGGAGGTGAACGCTGGTACACAGCAGTGCTCAGTAGTGTACACGTGATCCGTCCACTCACAGACACACAGAAGAAATTGCTTTAGCAGCACGTTGATCGTGCCCTGGAAACACATTCATCATAGACACTGTGTCCCCAACCTCGTGTGATGTGGAACACAGTGTGTGGCCCCGGGGTGGATGCTGAGCACCCTGTGCCCTTGCTCTGAGCTGAGGGCTGGGAATCTGCCTGAGAGGAGACAGGACCTCTGGGGGGCCTGGGTGGGGCCTGTTGCCCACCCAGGGGGCAGGCAGGGGTGACAGTGGCAGGACCAGCAGCTCAAAGTCCCAGAGGCTCCAGTGAGCCTGACACTGCCTAGAAGCTGCACACAGCTGGCTCTGGCTGGATTCTGCCAGGGACTGAGCCCTCACCCACTCTGTGGGCACCTGCCATTCACCCAGCAGTGTGGGAGGCAAGAAACTGGCCCCATCACTGTCTGTGGGGCTGAACTGGCTGGCGGGACAGGAGGTGGCCATGGCCAGTCACGCACGCTCTCTGAGTCTCCACAGCTGGAGCAAGAGGGCAGGAGGCGGTGGCAGGTGGGTCTCAGGCAGAGTGCCCCGCCCATGCACAGTGGAGGCCAGGCCTAGGGCTGTGTGCTGGGGGTGCGTGGGGAAGGCTGGGGCTCTGGGTGTGACGCAAGCCCTTCCCCACTGTGCAGGTGGCACAGAACGCGGCCCTGTACACGGGGGACCCCAACCTGGGGCTGGAGCTGTTCGAGGCGGCTGGAGACATCTTCTTCAACGGGACCTGGGAGCGGGAGAAAGCGGTGTCCTTCTACCGTGTGAGTGGGCACTGTGCGTGCCCTCTGGGGTGGGGACACCAGATGACCCACAGCCACACTGGGTGGACGCTGGGTCTCCACCAGGCAGATGAGGTCTCTGAGGCTTAGAGAGGCATGAGGATGTGCCAGAGGACACACATCCCATCAGAGGGGACCCGGTCATCTTCCTTCCTCTGTCCCCAGAGCTGAGGAGCAGCCTGGGCCTGTACACAGCTGGTCCTGCCATGAGGGCCAGGTCGGGCGGGCTCTCCAGCCTCTGAGCTGTCCTTTCTCCCGGTCCCAGGCGCGTGCAGACACCACCGGGGTGAGGGCACTGCCTGTGCAGGCTGAGGGGGGTGCTATGCACGGCGGGTGCTGCAGCGGCCTGAGTCCCGGCTCTTTGTGGACAGGACCGGGCACTGCCCCTGGCCGTGACCATGGGAAACCGGGAGGCGGAGCTGCGGCTGTGTAACAAGCTGGTGGCACTGCTGGCTGCGCTGGAGGCGCCCCAGGAGGGCCTGGAGTTCGCCCACGAGGCCCTGGAGCTCAGCATCACCCTGGGTAAGCTGAGCTGCGTGCCTCCTCTCCTGTCCGGGTGGCTGACATCCGATCTGACCAGCCAGCCCCTGCATCCAAGCTGGGTTTCTCAGGATGGGTGAAGCTCTCTGAGGGGCCTCCCTGCCTCTGTCCCGGCTGACTCCGCGTGAGCTGCACCCCGCCTCTTGCTGTCCCTGCTCGTGCCAGGCAGGGCCTCTGCTCAACGGTCCCTTCCTGCTGTCTCTTCACGGCCCTCAGCAGTCTCTGCTGCTCTCTGCTGCTGCAGTCCCTGTCCCTCACGCCGGCCTCCCTGTGTCCCGCACCAGCCCTGCTATGTGCTATGTGGGTGTCTCTCTGCCTCCAGGGAGGGACCCCACGTATGGGCTTGGCTCTGCCTGCAGCCTCCACATGCTGGCCCTGGGGGACCACTGAGGCTGGCAGGGAGGACCTGGGGCTCCATCAGGAAGTGACACCCGCGGTAGGGGCTCTGCTCATGACACCCCAAGTAGTCTGGCCTGCTGGCTGGCCAGAGCCGGAAAAGGGACCAACCGCATGCCTTTTGGGGGTCCTAGTTAAGAACCGTGATGGGAGGCACCCCATGTGGGTGACTTCCTGCAGGCACAGAGCTGAGACTGCCAAACGCCAGTGTAGAAGGGGGCAGGCATGATCACCCCACTTTGCAGATTGGAAGGCGAGTCTCAGGACAGGAAGTAGCCACCCACGGCCCACAGGCTCACCCCTGTACCCCACCTGCCCGAGGACCATGTCCCCACACCCGGCCTCTGCTGCCTGCCCCAGGTGACCAGCTGAATGAGCGTGTGGCCTACCACCGGCTGGCCACCCTGCACCACCGACTGGGCCGCAGCGAGCTAGCCGAGCACTTCTACCTGAAGGCACTGTCGCTGTGTCGCTCGCCGCTGGAGTTCGAGGAGGAGACACTATACTATGTGAAGGTGTACCTGGTGCTGGGCGACATCATCTTCTACGAGCTGAAGGTGGGCTCGGGAGCTCTGCCTTGACACTGCCCAGCTGCATGCTGGCCAGGCTGGCCCTGCAGAGCTTGGGACAGAGGCGGGCTGTGGTCAGGGGGTCTCCTGGAGGAGGTGACGCCGGAGCTCGCCTTGGCAGTAAGGAGTTTAAAGTGGGGTGCAGTGGGGAGAAGGATTTCGAGGGACACTGCTCTACCCCAAGATCACAGTGCAAGACCCAGCCCGCACTGCGGCCCCTCGCAGGCACCACCTGCTCCCACAGCCCCTCCTGGAGTGCCCAGACGCCCGGCCTCCAGGTCACTGCATGGCAGCAGGGATGCTGTCAGCCTGCTTCACAGAGGGCGAACTGCAGCTGGGGTGGGGGGAGCAGGGGCCCATGCCCCCTGGCTGAGTCCTGGTGTGGCCAGCACTTCAGGGACCGGGACTGGGACCCCTACGCTATCTGCACCCTAGCCCTGCAGTGCCACGTGCTGACAAGGACGTGGAGGTGTCTTCCATCATCCCCTGCACAACACAGGTGCCCGTGCTGGGGAGGGAGAGCGGCCACGGCCGGGCTGGGCTCTGCCCTGACCATCCCACCCTTCAGCCCCACCACGTGCTAGCGATACCTGGTGGTCAGGCCTAGTCCCTGCAGCCTCCGCTGTGGCTGTGCCCAGGGTGCCCACATGCCCAGAGGATGGCCAGGGCCTGGTCCCTCCATGGCCACACCCACCACCTGCTCTGTCCCCAAGGAGGAAGGAAGGGGCCGGGCTGCTGCTGGGAGCCGAGGTCAGGCCAGGCGGGGTGGGTCAAGGCCAGGAAGTCCCTCTGCTTCCTTCTGGGGGCCTCGCCACGTCCAGCCCAGCCCTGCTCAGCTCCCGCTCGGGGCAGCCATGTCCCTGCTTGGGGACAGGGTCCCGGGGGACACTGGACATCTGAGCCTAACAGTCACCTTCAGTCTGCACGTGGCTTGTAGCCATATGACGGAGGCAGGTGTGTGTGTGTGCTGGTGTGAACTGAGCTGGTACACACAGATGCGCACACACAGGCACGCACAGTGCCCGCTTTGGCCGGTTCCTGGCTGTGTAGGTGGGGCATCTCCTCCAGGAAGCCCTCCCCTCCCAACAGAGCCGAGCCAGTTGCCTCTGCCTCCCTCTGCTGTGGCCTGGCCACCCCACGTGGTCAGTCATGTGGTCGCTGCTTACTCCAGGTCCGCAGGACCCCAGGGGTGGGACTCACTACCTGCTCCGTTTTCCCGTCCTGTGTCCTCGGGGCAGGACCGACAGGCTGGGGCTCCTGCACACTGTCCTCAGCCTGGGCAGCCCTTGCAAGGAGCTGAGGAGAGGACGGATGGGCTGGGGCCAGGCCTGGGTCTGCGTGAGGGCCGAGGGCGGGGGTGGGAGCCTCATCTGACTGGGAGTGGGGTTCAGGCACAGTCGTGTCTGTGATGGAGTGGAGAGGGGAGGGTGCCGCACCCCGCCAGGGCATTCCCAGGGGCAATGCCTGGAGAGTGGGAGGCGCTGCTGCTGAGCCGGCCTGAGGCAGCCTGGGGACGTGGGTGTGCCGCAGGGAGCCCCCAGAGCTGGGCCAGCCCTGCACCCAGGGAAGGCAGCGAGAGGCACTGAGAGGACAGGAGGCCGGATGTCTCAGTGTCAAGGTGGCGGAGCCAGGGGGAGCCCAGCGTCCTTCCCAGCAGCCACACCATTAAAGCCGCCTCTCCCCTCCCAGGACCCCTTTGATGCGGCTGGGTACTACCAGCTGGCGCTAGCAGCAGCTGTGGACCTGGGCCACAAGAAGATGCAGCTGAAGCTCTGCACGCGGCTGGCCACCATCTACCACCACTTCCTGGTGGACCGCGAGATGTCGCTCTTCTTCTACCAGAAAGCCAGGACCTTCGCCTCGGAGCTCAAGGGCCGCAGGGCCGGCCTTGCCCCCCAACACCTCTGGGCCCGTGCCCCCTGGCTGGCCCCGGGGCCCCCACCTTGAGGGTCCACCCGCCTCACCCAGCTGCTGGGAGGGGGTTCCCAGGGAGGGCCGAGTGCAATAAACGTGTTTTCAGTAATGCTGATGGCTCCAGGAAACTCCGCCCTCTGCTCCTGGGCCCAAGTGCTCCTGAGGAGGCCCATGCGGAGGCCTCACCCTCCCCAGCTCCCCACGGTGCCACCTCTGCACCTCCCCCTTCCTTCCTTCTTTCCCAATGCTAGCGAATGATCCAGAGGCCTTTGCATTGAGCCACATACCCCCCATTCTCCTTCGACACAGGATCTCATGAATTCTCTAAGTTGCCCAGGCTCAGCTTCAGGTTGCAATCTGCCTGCCTCAGCCACCCAAAGTGCTGAGGTGACAGGCGTTACATGAGGTGAAGTCCACGCAGCAGGCTGCTCACCCCATCTGGTGCCAAACGTCTGTCTCCCCAGAGGTGACCTCCCACGCCTCACTCTCCTCCCCCAGCCCCCTTATCAGGGAAACCGAGGCCTGGAGACAGAGGGCCTCAGGCAGGCACTGCCCTGAGGGGGACTGGGCGCCCCTGCCGGTCCCTGTCCAGTGGTGCAGCAGAGGCAGGGAGGTCCTAGAGAACAGGAGCCCAGTGGTGCTAGTGTGTTGCCGGCCTCCCACCAGGGGGCAGCAGTGGGGTTTCTGGCAATGTGCACCCCTACGACATGGCTGTTAGCTGCTGCAGGCTGGGCCTGGCTGAGCATCGCCAAGGAGGGGACGCAATCCTGGGGGTGAGGAGGAAGTCACGCTCCTACCAGGTCCCACAGCCCTGGCGCCCGACTTTGAGAGGCGACCACCCACAGGTGCACAGCACGAGGGCCTGAACCCTCCCCACCCGGCCAGAACAGAAGCAGCCGCTCAGTGCGACGGGGACTCGGGGGGCCACGAGGGTCCCCAGAGAACAGAAGAGGCCTCGACTCTGCCACACACGCGTCCCCAGTGTCCAGAGCCTGCGGGCAGCAGTCGGTTGCAGCTGCACAGCAGTGGACCCGGGCACAGCAGGAAGCGGGGTGCAGCTCTGCCCCTCTGTAAGGCCAGTGCTGTGCCGGGTCACCGGGCAGAGTCCAGCTCACCGGGGAAGACGGGGAGGCCAGACAGTGCTCCCTGGGGACTGTGTGCCCTCCCGCGGCATCCCATCTGCACGACAGTCACTCCTGTAATGCACACGCAGTGTGAGGGCGAAGGGCTTGGCAGCTGTAACTGAGGTCGCTGAGCGGCCCTGAGGGGGCCTGGCCTAGGCGAGGAGACCCCTGCCCTGTACTGGGGATGGAAGCCAGAGCCCTCACAGGGCTGCATCCCCAGCCCTTTTCTTTTTATTTTGAGACAGGGTCTTACTAAGTGTCTACATTGCCCAGTCTGGGATCCAATTTGCAGTTCTGCCTCAGCCTCCCCAAGCGGCAGAATCACAGGCACGCACTACTGGACCTCCTGAAACGTTACCAGAGAGCTCTGCAGTAGGCGCCAGTCTCCTACCCAGTGTACAGCGCAGGCCAGAGAAAAAAGCTAAGAGACAGAACTAAGAGAGATGGAAAGCGGGGGCCAGGACAGCCAATGGGGGGCAACCAATAAAGGCCCTGGCCAGTCCCAGGCACTGACTTTTATTCTAAATCAATGGGGGCAAAGGCAAGCTGCGTGCAGTTTTTATGGAAATTAATGTAAGCAAGGCTCATACAGGGCAAGACAAAGCATTCTCGAATTAGGAACAGAATAGGCAAAATATATGGTTGTAAATAGAACACTGTCTTTCTAGTCAGAAGGTTTAGATGTGGGAACGGAATTTGGGTGCGAGTTACTCTGACCTCAGCACTAGGCTTCAGCCAGACTCACTTCTCAAAACAAGCAGTCGTGGGGTTAGCTCTTCACAGCCTGCCTTGGGCATGATCAGTATTGGGGTCTCCCGCAGCGCACCTCCACACCCAGCTAGGGAGCCCTTTAAGTGAGAGTCCAGCTTCCCCTAAGGAGAGATCCCCGCACTGGCTCCCCCTGGACCTGACTACCCGTGGAGGGGGCCGAGCAGCCTCACTGAGAGCCTGCGGGACCTGGGACCCCAGCCCCAGCAGTGGGGCACTGAGCTCTGGGGGGGGCCTGGCCCGGGCCCAGCCACGACACCTCAGTGACACTGGAGACCCGGACCTGGCTGTGGCCACAGGAGCTCCCAGACCCCCAAGTGCAGGCTTAAGCCGCCAAGTGCGTGATGCTTGCCGGGCAGCACAGATGGGGCAGGGCAGGTGGGAGGGGCGGGGCCAGGTGTCCCCCAGGGTCCCCCTGAACCCCAGCTGGGTGCCCAGCCACGCTGGGTCCCCAGGTGAGGGGCTCTGGGGCAGCTGTGTCCACCCAGGACCACGGCCCTGTCCACTGGAGCCAGTGTCACTGCCCAGCCAGGCCTGGCCTGGCATCAGGACCGCAGGCCCCAGGTCATAGGGCATGTGGGGACCACGTCTCCCAGAGGGATGGTGGCGCCCCATGCTCCCGGCCAGCAGAGCCCTCGCAAGGGAGACCAGCTGGGCTCCAGAGCCCAAGGGGGCCAGTCACACCCCTGCCATCACCCACCTGCCACTCAGCGGCACTCAGGCAGGACGGCCGCCTGCAGCCCATGGCCAGCAGTGAGGACAGCTGCATGGGCCATGGTCACAGAGGATGCTGTGGACACACCACTCCCAGCCAGCAGGTCACAGGCCATGCAGGTGGGGGTGCCCCTCGGTGACCCCGGCCAGGGACAGGGCCCTCATGTGCGGGAAGGAGATGAGGCTCCCGGGCTCCGACAGTGGGCACCGGGGACAGAGCAGGGAGCCCACAGCGGCCCTCGGCAGAAGAAGACCCTTAACCCCATCACACCCAGTGCAGGGTGACAGTGCCCCCAAGCCTGGCAAGCCACCCACAGCTACAGGTGAGCTGGGGACCACCAGGTATGGCTCCCCTCCAGTCAGCACCACAGGATGGCCCGGATGGTGCAGGGAAAAAGGGTCATTAGAGCTGGATGTGGTGGCGCACACCTGTAATCCCAGCACTTGGGAGGCAGAGGCAGGAGGATCCCCGTGAGTTCAAGGCCAGCCTGGGCTACACAGTGAGACCTTGTCTCAAAAAAAACACCAAACCTTTAAAAAGAAAAAATCACTGTCAGTACTTTAGTATATGCTTTTTCACAATTACCCTGTTTTTTTCACAAGGGAAATATCTTTGCTTCAAATAGAAAATAATATGATTGACTGTAAAAATTTGAACTATATAATACATGGTATTGTTAGGGAAAAAATAAAATCACCTGAACTCTTATAAAAAAATAAATTTCTGAAATAAAACCTAGGTGGCAGACTCAGAGGTGGGAACATGTCCACTGTCCTCACCAAGAGGGGCGGCCTGGCTTCCGGTCACCGTTCCAAGAGAGCCGAGGCCACGAGCTTCATGGATAGGAAAGGGTCACGGCTCGGCGCCCCGGCTGCTCTAGGCCACAGGCCTGGCCGTTTTGGGCAGGCCTGGCCGTTTTGGGCAGCCCTGGGGACAAGGCTGCTGGAGGCCAGGACCTGTGGAGATGCAGAGGAGGGGCAGGCTGTGCCCTTCAAACACACAGGACGTGTCACTGCATCCTCCTTTGGGGCCACCCCAGGGCCGAGGAGTCGATGAGTAGCGGTGAGAAGTAGGCGTGGGGTTCCAGGAGCTGCGAGGCGACACTGCAGTGCTGCAGGAGGGGGTGGATCAGCAGCTGCCGGACGGTGTCAGCACAGGGAGGCTGGGAATCACACTGACACAGAGCCGCTCCCCTCTCCTGGCATTTGCTGCCAGGGCCTCCCTTTGCGTCATGCATTCACAGGAGGCTCATGTATCACCATGGGTAGGGGCAGAGGGGAGACGGAAACCCCCTTCTGAAGGCCACTCAGTGACAGCCGAGATGTAGGGACGGGTCCCCTCCCGGGAGAACAAGCCGTGCCCCGCCTCCGGGGTGGAGGACAGACTCAGACTTGCACGCTCTGCACGCTCGGACACCGCCCTGCCCTGAAGTCCCCATCCGGGATCCCCTGACCCCTGCTCCACTCCCAGTGCTGTTGCTGCCGGGTCCCCCAGGGCTTTTCTGTCCTTCCACCTGAGACAGGACTCTGAATACCAGAATTTCCTCTTCCCAATCGGGACTGTTCTACTTTCTGTTTTGAAGTCAGTCCAGACAGACTCGCTGTCTCAGAGACAGGATGAGGGGCCCCAGGGCCTCCCCAGCCTCCCCAGCCTCCCCCAAGGCTGCACCTGGTCCCACGTGTGGCCACTTGGCCACGTCACTGGGTCCCGGTAGATCCCTGCAGCCACAGCCCTCGGCGGCTGCCGGTTCGGGCTGTGCTCCGTGATGCCAGGCCCTGCCACTCAGAGGCCCTGTCCCCGATGACTTCCAGGCGGCCCCAGCTGGGCCTGGGGTTTTGAAGAAACCACTGGAGCCCATTCTCTCGGGCTGTGCTGGGCTCCGCTCCCCAGGGTCTTAGATGAGCACACAAACCGAAAACATGGCCATTATCCGAGCTGGCATCCTAAACCGTAATTTCTGTTCCACCCATATCTCTCTGAGGCTTCCAAGTTTCATGAAATGAACATGTACTTTGCACTGTTCATTTTGCATCTGAAAAAGTTAAGTCTGTAAAAATTATTTGATCAAAAAGATGCTCAGACTGCTTTTTAATAAAGACCCAGCCAGGCCAGGAGGGCCCGGAGCACACGCACATGGAAGCATTCTCCCGCACTCTGTGCCTCCACTTGCACACTCCCGGACTCAGCGTGACAGGGCCGAGGGACGGGGACCTGGGTCCAGCACCAGGCTGAGTGCTATCCGAGCCCACCGGTCAGTGTCCCCCCACCCACCCAGGGCCTCAGTGACAAGGGACCATGCCCTGGGTAGTTACAGCAGGAGTGCGAGTTCTCCCAGTGCTGGCCCGAGCAGCCTCTGCTCTCCAGCTCCTCGACTCCGGGCCCCACCTGTGGCCACCACGCTGCAGTCCTGCCTCTGCCGTCACTTGTTCGTCCCCTCTGTCTCCTGAGGCCCCCCCGGGGGTGCACAGCCAGCTGGCCTTGGACACCCGTGCAGACTGT